TAATAAATAACAGAAAAAAAATTAAATCGAAAATGGGAAAATCTGATGGAAATGGATATACAGTAAGTTTAATATGATCGAGGATAAAGTGTGGTAGAAGTGAATGGAGTGAGGTCGAATGAGGTGGCTTTCATTTTAAGTGGTGATAACCAGTTATAGAATAAAAAATAAATAAATATTAATTATAAGACAAAATTATTATAAATTTTTAAAATATTCTATTAAATTTTTTATAGATAGCTAAATAATTTTTTTTAATAATATTTTTGTTTGATGATACAATAAAGGTAATTATTAAATTCACAAAGTGGAATTTTATTAAATCTTTTATTTTTTTTAAAAAAAATACAATATTTAATATAGCTAATTTAATTTTATAAGTTAAAATTTTTTTTTCCTATTTGTCTATGTTCCTCGATGTCGATATAGAATAGTAAATTAAATTATGATGTTCTTGTTATGAGTCATTTGAAAACGACTCTATTAAATATCAATTTAAAACACTTCTTTTTTTTTAATTTTTAGATTTTTATGATTTTTATCCTTAATTTATTTTTTAAATCTCATAATCGACGAAGAGCTAATAAAGTTATTTCGACCATTTAAATCTTAACTTTTCAAAGATATAGGATCATGATTTCTTTTAAATCACTTAGTATGTTTGCGATAAATAGGGGACTCCAGTGGGTCTCTAGACTTTTACAACTCGAGTGTGTGGAGGGGGGGGAGGGTCTTTTTCTTTCTCTCTTTCTTCCATACCCTCATCATTTTTATGGGCTTTCATGTATGCTTTTGTTTTATTCCTTATTAAACATCGTATTCTTAATTAAGTGAGATCTGCCACTCTAGGAGATTGCCTTCTATGCTTCTATTTAAAACTTAGATATGTTTTTTCCTATTTTATAATAGAACCATTATCTATCGTGAAAAAATATTATAAATAGTATATATGAATGCACAAAATGATAATATACATATGTTAGTTAAAATCAACCTCAATAAAAGATATTATTAACGTAATTCTTTTGATCAATTATGCAATATAATTCATAAATTATGTAAAATTATATAATTATTCTAATATTTTTAATATAAGTGTTTTTATAAATAGGCGATAAAATGGTTATAAGGAAAATATTTTAAATATAGAGTCAAAATAAAATTTTAAAATATCTCATTATATGATATTATTAAAAAATGGAGGAAGGGGGGTGGGAGTAGTGAGATTCTTGTGTCGCTGCTATTGGGGGACTCATTTGCTTGGCAATATAAAAGAGGTGTAATGATAAAAGATATTAGTCAGTCCCGGTACATTATACCTCGAGGATAGGTGCCATGAGAAGAACGAGTAAGCAAAACCTAAAATCCTCAAAACAGCATTAAGTTTAAACCCCATTTTACAAAAATTTTAGGAAACCACACTTCTAAAAAAGAAAATGCGAGCCGGAATTGGAGTCAGTTTTCTAGAAATAAAAATCTAAAATATGGCGCTTGATTGAACGCAAAGTTAATTTTTAAACCATTAGTAGACTCTGCCATTTCGTTCCAAATTATCGGTTCATTATATTATCCTTTATACATATATCTTGTATTAACATTTTGGGATATTTAATAATATCGCGCTATTTTTTTTTTACATTAGAAATTTTACTACAAGTAGTTAAGATCCATCGTTGATCCATTCGCACTGAACCAATAATGATTATAATTTAACTCGACGCTAAAATATCTTTAATGTTTTTTCTTGACTTCTTTTCAACACTCCTTGTTAGACTTATTTTTGATATTTATTGCTGTTTAGCCTAGGCTAAACAGGAACTAGGATACCCTATTTTAATTTTTTTAAAGTACTTTGTGAGCTCGTTTTTATTTTTACCTTTAACCATTTAGTCAAAACTATGCAGCCGGCTAAACAGCCGGCTGTTTAGGAATAAGAACTAGGACACATCCTTAAAAATTAATTCTCCTATTGTGCATTCCTGCATAACCTATATCCTTTTGAGACCAAGAATTAAAAATTATGTTATCCCATCTAAATTAAATCTTTTTCTCTACTATAACATTATTAAAATTAAAAGGAAGAGAATAGATCAATGGTCTAAATTTATAGGTTCTAATTCCATTCCCCTTTCACTTTTTACTTTTTGTCCGGATTAGTTCCTCTGATATCTCGATCCTTTCTAATATATTAATCTCTCCAAAGTTATAATCTGATAGACCCCCCTCCCCTAAACGACTGTTACGATTTCTTTCGTAGCAGCTTCATAAAAAATGTTTTCATCACTCCAGTATAAGACCTTCTTTGAATAAGTACCTGCTTTTCTATGTCCTTAATCGTGGACATTGTTGGATCTCTCGACTTATTCTCTCTAGCCTTTGGCAATATCATGAACCTAAAATTTTGCCGACCCTTCTAGTTTCTTATAAAGTTTAGCCTTTCATTTTTTTATCATAAATTCTTATGTTTCTAATTATAATTTTACCATATTAACCAGATGATATTCAAATAACTGGTAACATGCATCCATGTCAATTAAAACCAAATTTAAGCGATGAAATTAGAGCATCACGTTTCTTGAAAATAAAAGCGGATTGCTTTATATACCTCCTCTGCCTGTTAAATCCACTTAGATTACTCTAAATAAATTATTTAGTAAAAATTATGATGAAAAATATTAAATGTTAAAATATTATGGTTGCTAATTTAGGGAAAGAGAGAAAAATAAAATATAATCAATTCAGCTTGACATAATTTCGGTTGATCAATAATTATTTTAGCTGCTAAAACAATTCATTTTTTTATTTTGTTTAGAAATAAACATCATTTGTTAAAGTCATTAATGTATATATTAAAATATATAAAGTAAAAACTAGTGTTGTTATGCGGCTCAATTTGGGCTGATTTTTGAATACGGCTAACTCAATATTTTAGCTGGAAAAATATTTCATAAGCCTCGAAATTTCACTAATAAATGTCCAAATGTTTGTGCTATCTATGAGCAAAGTCGTTAGGCTTGCGTAATATTTTTCTGGATAAAATATTGAGTCAGCCGTTTTTAAAAATCGGCTCAAATCGAGCCATTTAACAACACTAGTAAAAACAATATGTGAAAAAAAAAATTCATAAATCCCACCGAAATTTAATTTAGTTATATCAAAAAGAATATTACGCAACCTTTATTAATGTTTGAATTTCAAACAAAATATTTATACTACAAATCAAAATATACAATTTTACCTTTTATTAATATATCTTCAATATATTTAAAAAATAAATATTATATCACAAAGAATTATATATATCAGAGACATACAGGAGTACCATTTACGCAACCAGGTTTAAATTTTTTTTTTCAAAATTTTTTTTCTTCAGGCCCGGCCCGGATTTTTTTTAAATATATTTTTTTTATTTTTATGGCTTATAATGGCTATTTAAAATATTTGGTTTTAAAATGGGCCGGGCTAAGGGCTGGGCCTGCGAGTCTCTGATATATATATATATAACATCCCCCAGAAAAATTATTTTACACGTAAAATGTCTAAAGAAAACATACTTTATCATGAAAAATGAATTAATAATTATTGCAATACTTACCGCCCTTTTATATTTTTCTCGAAGACAGTAATTCGTTAGGATAAAAAGTATCGCCATCTTTTATCTTAAAATAATTTTTTTTTTAAATTGCAATCCAATGTTTGATTAATATTAAATTACAGGGAGCCCCCCGCACGCGTTTTTAAAATAGTAAATATACTCTTTTTAAAAAATAAAAATTACAAAGTTTGCTATATACGTTACTCATCAAAATTGAAGTAAAAACTGTCAAAAACAATAAATAATTAATAATTGCGAAATTATTTTTAAACTTATTTTAAGATAATATGACACATTTGATATTTCCCCCATTTAATAAGATATGATCTAGACTAGAATAATGGCATTACAAGCATATCAATTTTATAAAGAAACATTTTGCTCTAGTCTAGTTCCCCGTAGATGCCCGAAGAGTATCTTTTCCAAACTATTTAGTATTTAAAGTTTATCAATTCTGTTGTATTCTTCTTTGTAAAAAACTCTTGTCGGTTTAACCTATAGACAAATCTTGATTTTTTTTTAATATAAAAAAACCCCATTTTTTTCGAAGTGTCATCCTAAATATATAATAATAAACGATATTTTTAGTGCTTTAAATTTAATGATAATTACAAAAATAAAGGAACAAAAAGAAAACAAAATAAAAGACAATTAAGGAATACTTTATAACAAATAAATATCCTGGCCAGATATTTTTAACTGTAAAAATAATTTAATCATTTTTTATAAAGTTAAATTATATATTAAAAAATCAACACTAACGGCTTTTATACTAATCCCCTTCCCTAGAGATATTCTAATTATCATCTTATTTAATATCAAAATCATTAGGCTTATCCACCACTTCGGACCTGCAAGGCTATATATATGGTATAGACGCAGTTATCATTGTTTTTTTTGTCTTGCAAATTCTAAAAATTAATTATTCAATAATAATTTTTTCCTAAGATAGATATTGGCCAATAATATATTACTCTAATCAATTATTAATTGTTATTCTTATATCTTTTTTAATATATAGATTTATTTATAAAAAATAAAAGCAGAAGGAACGTGCACGATATCCTTCTTACTTACCTTGTAATATTAGAGGGAGAAAAATAATATTATTAATTGGTATTATAAATCAATAAAAACATAACATTTTTTTTTATATTAATAAATAAGCTTGTATTACTTTTTAAATTTTTAAAATATAAAAAAAATATTAATTTTTTTATTATTATAAATATAATTTTTATCTAAAATAATATTAGTGTATTATTGCAACTAATTATACGTTAGTATATTTAATATAGTATTATATCCTTTTCTTTTTAGTTACATAATTTCATTTTATGAGAATTTGAGCTATTTTTTAAATCATATTTTAAAAATAAATAAAAATAAATAAGTAAAAGAATAATAAATGAGAGAAGTCAAGGTGGAAAATAACTACCAAAATCTTTGGATCTTGACATATATCATTATGATTTTATTGATAGTTCTCACAAATCTCTCAGCCATTTATACCATTTGGTCCAATAAAATCTTGCAAACGTCAACATATTACTTTATAACTTCCCTATCGATTGCCTATTCTATCCGAGGTAACAAAAATAAATAAATCCTTTAATGTTAAAATGTCCTTTGCAAACAAAACTAATTCATGTGCAATCATCAATATCAAAATTTATAAGCTTCAAGTTTTTTTTCTTTTGGTATTTACGGAAATTGATTTTATTTAGAAAAAATTTGTAACTAGTTTCATTAAAGTTAGGGCGGGATACGTGTGACATTAATATAATATTATTACTAAAGTGCGTTTAACACTTTTATGTTGTTAATAAATATACATTGTTGAAAAGTTTCATTGTCTAAATGCAAAATATACATCGTCACTTTAATTATAATATTAAATTTACCCGACTATCCTCAGCTATTTTAAATATTGTAGTATTTTTTTTTAAAATAACTTTGGATCTTGATTATAAAGGTTAAATCTCAATAATTCGCAATGCATTATTAACGGAGCATTATCAACGGATTGATATTTTTTTTTAAAACCCCTGTTATCGTGAAAACCAAGCCTGTTAATTTTTTGTTGAAAACTTGTAATAAACCATATAATTTATGCTATATGCCCTTAAATTTTTTACAAATAAATTTTTCCAAATAATGATATATTTGGGTATAATTTGGTATATTTTGTCACTCAAAGGTTTAATGTTTTATTAAACAGCTCTATTTCAACAAATTTAAATTAAGATTATTACACAATCCCTCGAGATTTTGTTTAATAGATGTCCAAACCTTTCTACCTACGAGTAAAATCTATAGGTTTCATATTTTACATATTTTAAAAACCAACCAAGTCCAACAAAACTACAAACGATTCAATAAAATACAAAAAAATTAATCGTTTTATAATCTTACAAATTCGCCATCTAGGAATGACGGGAAAATATGACCGTCGTAATCTTGTGTTTCATTTTTTTTGGGGGGGGGGGGGGGGATGCAAATATAACTTTTTTAAAAAATATATAATACCTTCCTTTTAAATATTTAATTAGATGACCAGAAGTAGTTAAATGGCTCGATTTGAGTCGATTTTTAAAAACGGGTAACTCAATATTTTAGCCAGAAAAATATTGAAAAATATTGCACAAGCCTCGAGATTTTGCTAATAGATGTCCAAACGTGCCATCTATGACCAGAATCTTCAGGCTTGCCTGATATTTTTGACTAAAATATTGAGTTAGTCCAATCGGCTCAAATCAAGCCATTTAACAACTCTAGCAGAAAAAACATAAAAAAGTTTGAAAAATTACTTATTTTGAGGGAAAAAAAATTATAATAGCTATTATGAAAATATAATTTATAAAGCTCCTTTTTTTTAATAAACATTTTTTTAACTTCAACTAATTTTTACATTTTAAAATTTTATACTTGCTGCCTTATCTCAATTTTTTATTTATTTATTTAATTACCTATAATTTAAGCACAATCGTTTTTTTATAAAAAATATAGCATAAGTACTCACTTTTTTAAATTTTTCATCGGCGTTTATCGGCACACCGAATTAGTCGCCGTCTAATGGTGTTATACAGTTCTATTTGATTCGATTTAGGTTAACTCAATATTTTATCCATAAAATGAGCCTGGAGATTGCCATAGATGGCGCAAAGGTTTTGACATCTATTAGTGAAATCTTGAAGCTTATGCAATATTTTTCTGGCTAAAATATTGAGTTATCCATATTTAAAAATAGGCTCAAATCGAACCGATTAACAACACCACATCAGCGAGGCCACATTTTTTTTATAATTCATTTGGACCATTGGCGTACGCAGCGGGGGGGGGAAGGGGGACAAATCCCCCCCCCCCCCCCCCAAAGCCAAAAAATGCAGATGCCGGATATATTTTTCAAAAATATTATTGTCTATATTAATTTATATTTGTTAATATTTATTCGTATCTCATATTAAATATATATTTAATTACATTTATTATCACATTTATCTACTAAGTTATTTTATCAATAATTTCGATTTCAAGTTTTCCGGCGTAATATTTACTTATTATTTTCAAATTTTTAGTGGCGTAATATTTATCTACCATTTTCAAATTTCTAGTCAAATAATAATTATTTCTGAAACTTCTTGTCCAACAGGGAAAAAGAAATTGCAACCTTGTCCAACGAGATAGAGTCTCCGCCATCAAGCAGTAACAGCTTTTAAGGAGTTAGAAGAGCCAATATTTGCTATTACTGAAATATCACAATGGTCTGAAAGAAATATTTCTTCAGAAGCAAGAAAATTATTGGATTCAATGCTTATTCCAAATTTTATTTCTCATTAGAATGTATTATTTAATTATATAACTATTTTAATTAATACTTTTCAAAACATGACATTGACTTGATTAAGAAAATGAGAATAGCGGAGAGCATTTTATCAGAACTCAAGGAAATTAGGGCTAATGTTGATGAAGAATTTCATATTTTATATTTTATTGTTGAGTCAAAAGCAGAGCTATACGTGTTTAATATTTGTCTCCCTCGATTTGTAGCAAGGCAAGCTCATCGTTAAAACATTAATATAGGATCAGTAGAAGAGTATATCTTAAATACAGATACATTTAAACCCCAAATAAATGAATTTTTAATTCATCATGCAGCACTTACTAATCTGCAAATATTACTTCCACAAAAGCCTTCCCAACCTTTTTCAGATGGTGATAAAAAAAAATATTTGTTAGATTTTTATTATGAAGATGTTAAAGTATCTTATGATGCCTTACTAGCTGAATAACTATGTTTATAAGATTAACTATGGATGATATAGTCCCAAAAAATTCTATGGATGCTCTGCATTATTTCAAACACATTTTAGATTAAATTCCCAATGTATTAAAAGAGTTTATAAACTCTTCCCATTAGTAAACTAATGAGAGAACATTCTCTTTTTTAAGAAGAATAACAGAGGCCTGCAGAAGTACCATTTGCAGGCCACGGCCCGGATTTTTTTTAAAGAATTTTTACCGCCCGGCCTAGGTTTTTTTAAAAAAATTTCAGGCCTGGCCTAGCTTTTTTAAAAAAATTTTAAGCCCGACGGCTTTTTTTAAAAAAATTTCAGGTCCGGCCCGGCTTTTTTTTAAATAAAATTTTCAGGCCCGGCCCGGATTTTTTTAAAATAAATTATATTTATTTTAGATTTTTATAGCTAATAATAACGATTTCAAATACAGGCTGTTTTAAAAAATACAGCCCGGATTGGGTGTTTTTTTGAAATAATTCAGGCCAGGCTTGGGTGTTTTTTTAAAAAAAAATCGGGCCCGGCCCGGGTAAATTTAAAAAAATTAAAATACTGTCCAGCCCGGGGGCCGAGCCTGCAGGTCTCTGAAAAACATACCGAGAAGTACAACATCTGAAAGTAGGTTGAAAGGTTTGGATCTTTTGAATATTTATAGGTATTTGACGACAAGCAAGGATGAGATAATTGAAAAATTAGCTCAATTACAACGAAGATTGGATTTTACTTTGTAAATATATAACAAACTAAATGCAATTATTCCTAATTTTTGTGTAAAGGCTCAAAAAATTCAAATTTCTATTTTGGGTCATTTAAGTGATTCTTTATACATATAATTTTTTTTAAATTGTGTATTAGAAATAGTTATTAGTCCTAATAAATGTATGCTTGATATTTTTAAAAAACAATAATATTTCTTAAAAAATTTTATTATCCCTCCCCCCCAGACCAAATTCCTGCGTACGCGCCTGATTTGGACACTTTTATCATTAACATTGCTAATATAGTTTAGATTCTTATATCATTCCCTGTCCCACCCCCATATAAATTTATGTATTTCTCATTCACCTAATAGACTTCTATTATTCTTTTTTTTACTAAGGTCCGAGGGATACATCAATTAAGTAACATTCTATAGATTTTTATTAAAAACAAATTTATATATAAATCTTGGAATGCAAGTAAAATAGAAAGTAAGCAAATATAAATAAATTAAAAAATTTAATTAAATCATATTTGTTAATGAATAAATATTATCAGGCCGAGATTAGTAGGGCATAAAGAGGTTCTTCTGATGAATCCAGCAATGGAATAGATTCTTTCAGAGTACTAATTGCAGGTATGCAAAGGACTTTCCTAGCTAAATTTGTAAGTCTAGGAAGTTCCAATTAATTATTTTCAAAAGTTTGATACATCCTACTCTGGTTTAGTATATAGGCCGAGTAAAATATGGTATTCTTGCTCTAAATTACTTGTGTTATTATAACCGTTTTTGGAAAGGAATGTTTTCTAGCTATTTTATCTATATGTAAATTAGATTTGTCTATTATCTTCAACTTTAATCTCACTCTCTGCATTTCTATTATGCTCTCTACTAAGTTTTAAATTTCCAATTAAAAATTGCAAATCTTAGAATCCCAATTTAAATCTCAAAAAAGTGTGAGATTTTGAAATCTCGTTATTCATCCAATGATAATTATATTTGGTTATATTCAACAGTCAAGACATAAAGATTTAGAGTGTTTAGCTTTACAAATTTATATGATAAATAAAAAAAAAGTATCACAGAGTTGTATCATTTGAGAATAATACTATACTATTTATTAGTGTTCAAATATCTACATGTCAAAAAGTTAGCCATTAAAAGGATTTTTTTGTTGCTCAGTCAAAACCTAAAAAAAATTATAAAATTTACCCTGATAAGTTTTTTATTATTCTACTTTTCGTCCTTTTTTTCAATTAAATAAGCTATAAAATTTTTGAAATTTTTTTTAAAATAAAAACAATTTGTATATATAATTAAATTTGTGTGCATGAATATTATAATAATTTTAGGGGAATTTTTTTAAAAAAATTATTTAAAAATACTTAAACATTTATAACATATAAAAATGTGATTTTTAAAGAAAACAATATCGATTTGTAAAAGGAGATAAATTGCTTAGAATATAAGATTGTATGTAAAATGTAATAAATGAATTTATTTTATTTTCGATAATAAATTGTATGAGAAGTAAATGATGGAATATACTTGTTCTTTGTGTAGACTGTAGATATTAAATTGAAAAATATGAATA